CTCTGGGTAGAATGAGAATTATTTAAATGCCTCTCACAGTTGAGAGCGGTTACTCTTTAAATCTAGCAGACTGTGGACTTTCTGCAAATTTCACGCGATTGCTGATTTTTATTTAAAAAAAAAATATGATGGAACGGCAGAGCATTGTTTTACACAGAGATTTTGTGTATTTTCTTTTTCCCGTGTAATTTTGCACTTTCAAATTTCCTACAAGTAGATAAATATTCGCATTATATATATATATAATACATGCATAAAAATACGCGCTGGATTTGCATATATATATAAATGCACATGTGCACGTAAAAATATGCAAATATGCACGAAACACGTGCAAATATGCAGATACGCGGGAGGTGTATGCAAATATGCACGAAAAATAGACAAACGTGCACAGGAAAAAGACGCATGAAACACTCGGCTATTTTTCGTGCATATTTACTCGTTGTACGTGCATGTTTTTCCCATCTTTCGTGCACGTTTGTACATTTCACGTGCACAAACATCCGCAGTTTATTCGTCACGCATCGAATTTTGTTCGTTTTGTACGTTTTATTCTCAAAGTCAGGACGTCGTGTTTAAGTAATTGTTTGGGAACGTGATGCAACTTTGCGATTCACGACGTAGCGCAAAGCAAACAAATTTAATATACCCAATCTCTGTATATCGTTTTATGGGACAGAACACGAAACGTGTCTCATAAAGGGCGTTGTTCGTAAACAGTGCACGTGAAAGTAACAGCGCGCGGAATGAAAGTTTCACGCACGAGGCTTGATCTTCGTGGAATATTGCTTTGGTGGAAGATTCACAAGTGCCTCGTTGTTACACGTTCCTCTTGGAAAAGCAACGTATCACCAAACTGTAGAAGATAGAGAAACTATCGTTCGCGAATTCAATTAATTTTTCATCCAATTCCGACACCAGGCTCTGAAGGAACTATTGTTTTTGAAAAGTCGCGATTTAGTGCGAGAGGATTCCTCGTACCGGCGAGATATCGTAAATATCACTTGCTTGGGAAAAACTTGGCTGTATCTCATAAATTTAAATTTCACCGAAGCAAGAGAGATATAGATATAGCGACGGAGGGAAGAGAAGAAGCGGCTTCGTCTTTTCACGGTGAAGACTCTCCGAAGGCCGCACCGTTTATTACACAGCCGCCGCCCCTGTTATATTTTCGCGCGGCGTTGCACAGCCCACGCCGTGGATCCAATCTTAACTCTAAATTACACCTTAATGGCCGAGCATCCGTCCGGACAGGTCCCCGGGACGTTCCTCTAATTTGAGCAGATTATTAAAATCGCATCGCCGTGATCCACGAAATGAAGGATCACCCCGGCAGGCAAACGACGATGGAACTTTTCTCGTAAAATAAATCAGCCGGCCTCCCCATCTCCTCACACCCATCGGCGATAATTCGACTGAGCCACCACCACCTTGCCAGCAATATTGGATATTTTCTTAATGGTGAAACTTCCACGGTAACCGGCTCGTCTGTTCATCTTTATGAAGTCCGTGATAAATCAGTACCACCCACGGCTTCTGGTCACCTCCTTACGACGCGCGCCTACCATCCTACCTTTTTTTATTCGATTTCAATCCAACTACCGCGTTTCGCCATTTCGCGGAAAGCTTCGTTTCGGCCAAATGTGCTTTTACATCCGGCGGAGATTAAAAATTCAGAGGCGCGGCGGAATGCCGGTGGCCTGCATCGGCAGCTTCGTCCGATTAAATTTTTAATTTGCAAAACAGAGTCCTCTGCCGATCGCCGGCACTATTTGGGAAATGTTCGAAACGGTTTGAAAACTAAAGAACCGGTGTGACAGGGAATTTTTATTATTTCGCAAGGTACATACCGTTCTCTCGATCGCAGCAAATGAAATTTTACTCGTGTATATATACCAGCGGCTGGCTAAATATTCTGGTTTAATTAAAGTTGGAATACTTTGGCTCGTAGCGGAGCAAAGGTTAAAAATTCCCACCTGATAAACGTTGCTTCCTCACGAATTCCGTCTACGAATCACGTATTTGGACGTTGAAACTAAACACACGTTTCCGTCTGCGTTTGTTCCAGGCACTGCACCAGCGACTACATCGCCGTGTACTCGGGCTCAACAACGTCGAGCCCCCTTCTGAAGATGCTCTGTTTCAAGAACAAAACCTCGTTGACGTACAGCGGCCGGAAACTGCTGGTCGAGTTCAGGTAAGAAAGAACGAAACGTCTCGCACGTCTCTCCTTCAAACGCCACGGCCTTTAGCGTCGAATTAAATTTTATCAAACTCGATCAA